ATCTTGAATATAACTCATTTACTGTAGGGCTGGCAATCGTAATCACGCTTTCAATGCCACTGATCCTTGGTAGACTGATCCTTGGTAAGCAATAAGCAACAACATCCACACAATGAGCACACGCATTTTAGCTAACGGTTATAAAGGCAATAAATTGCAATTATGAAACTCATTCTTTCTGATCCTAAATATATACTCATTCATTGTATAGTGGCGCTACGCATGCTGGTTTCAATGCTCTCATGGTACTTTGGTAAGAAATACTACGTCTACTAATCAATGAGCCCTTTTCTTTTCTTCATTTTTGTTCTATATCTTGATTCTTCTTTGTACTAAAGTTTTTTTTTTTTTCTTTTGTTATTAGATACGCATTTATATCAGCTAAAGTTGATGGATGAGTATGCCCGTGAGGTTATACACTTAATATGTCATCAGTCATTTTCAGAATTAGATCAGAACCAGTTTGTGCAAAGTAGAGCTGTGGAAGCAACATTCCAGGCTATCAAGAACGGCATCCCTGATATTGTGAAAGAAATTACAAAAGCTAATGCAAATATATTATGGAGCAGTACAGATCCTGAAGATTCAAGATCAAAAATTCAAAACATATTTGCTTGTGCTGTAGCACATCGTCAAGAGAGAGTGGCACACCTTCTTTATGAATCTGAAAAGGAGAAAAACATGCTTTTTATCACTGATGAAGATGGAAATAATACATTACATCTAGCAGCAAAGTTACCTCCTCATTATCAATTAGGTTACATCCATGCTGCAGCTTTGCAGTTGCAAAATGAAGTACGTTGGTTCAAGGTAAATATTTTTTTTATTTGTTTTTTCAAGTTAAGCAGTGAGAAATCTTATATTATTCCTTATCTATATTTTATTCTTTTCTAGTATATATTTTTCTTACCCTAGGAAATGTACATTAAATTAGTTTTTTGAAAATTTGGTCTAATCCTAAAATATATTTCATTAGTTGAGACTCTCTTATCAATGAAGATAAGTTTGCTTCAATTAGGATAATTAACCCTATTGATTTTTTACTTTTTTATTTGATGATCACATTCTAATTTTTCATTTATCTAATTAAATAGTGAGAAATCTTCTATTATTCCTTATTCATATAATATTCTTTTCTAGTATATATTATTTTTTATACCATGAGCTGTTTATCAAATTATTTTCATGAAACTTCTGTCTCATCAGTTTGTTGAGATTTTCTTGTCAATAAGGATAAGTTTGTTTCAATTGGGATAACTAATCTTATTAAATTTTAAAATTTTTCATTCAATAAAAAGCTATTGAAATTCTAATTTTATTCATCTAACTCCAAAAATTTTATACATATATATAAAAGATAGTGGTACTGTGCCATTTGATTTAAGACACCACATAATATACATATTAAAAAATTATTGTTTTTAAATTTAAATTAAAAATGAAAAAGTTTAAAATTGTAGATTTTAATGTTTGAATGGGTGGATATAAATGGATATATTGAATCAGAAGATATATAAGTTATTTTTCATATATAAAATGATAAACTATATATATTAGTATTTATTAATTTCTCACTTAGCATCTATAATATTATGAAACAATTGTAGGCGGTAAAAAAAATTGTTCCTAGATCTTTCAACGGACACAAAAATGAAGACAATGAAACCCCTTTGGAAGTGTTTGTTAGAGAACACAAGGATTTGCTAAAAGAAGCGGAAGAATGGGTAAAGAAAACAGCAAAATCTTCAACAGTCGTTGGTGCTCTTATTATCACAATTATGTTTGCAGTCGCTTTCACTGTTCCTGGTGGGAATGATCAAAGTGCAGGCTTTCCCATACTTTTGCACAAAACTCCGATACCGTTTATGATATTTATGGTATCAGATGCGGTTTCTCTTTTTACCGCATCCAGTTCAGTGTTAATGTTTTTAGGGATTCTGACTTCACATTATTCTGATGAAGATTACCGCGAAACCTTCCTCTTGATTATCGGCCTTACTTCACTCTTCGTCTCTATTGCAACAATGACCATAGCATTTTGTGCAGCTCTTTTCATTATGCTGCAGGGTCAAGGCGGATTGGGGTTAGTCATTCCTGTAACTCTGCTTGCTGGTATTCCTATCACATGCTTCGTGTTGCTGCAATTTCCTCTTCTGGTTGAGATTTTGGGTTTGACTTTAAGCCCAAACATCTTTGGTAAGAAAGAAACATCCTGGATGGGGATAATGACAGCAGATATTTCCACCAAAAAAAGAGTGACAGCAGATGTGTTCGCTTGGGGGCTCAGGAGCTTGAGGGGTTGAGGACAGTGGCAAAAATTTTTGCAATGTCTATGATTCGGGTGAATTAGTCACTTAAATGAATGTGGCTTTGAATAAAATTTTTTTTTTTTTTAAACACACGCATCTTGCTTTGAATAAATGATTGTAGTCATAATATTTAACGATGCTTTGACCGTTAGTCATAGTTGGTTGATTTACTAGACTTCTGTGTTTGCAGTTGTTGTATTTTTAAAATAACTCTAGTTATTGGTTTTTTTTTTTTAAATAAATAAAGATTTGGGGATAATTTATATATTTATTTATATTATTTTTAAGAAAATGTTAAAAAATAAAATTAGATTTTTTGTGACAAAATAATTAATCAAAAGTAAATAGATAATGATAAAATTAAATTAAAAAAATATATATTTGTCTATTTTTAAAAAATAATAATTAATTTAGAACAAATACAAAGTCAAAAAATGATAGTTATTATGGAATGAGAGACTAATAAACATTTGATGGATATATATATGGTAAGAATTTACTTATACATAAATTTTATGTACCACACTTATTTAAAATCTTGATCATCCATTTTTTTTTTTCAATAGTTGATATTTATTCATGTTTTATCATATTTATTAAAGATAATTATATTTTTTATCTTAAAAACAATGCTAAATTTCAATAATTAAAAGTAAAGAAATAAATAATTAAAATTTTATATAAATATAATGTATAAAATTTATATGTAAATAACTCTTAATATTCTTTCAAGATTTCAAACTTTAAAGTACTAAATTCTTCTTTAATTGTTTTTATGGAAAGATAAAAAAAAATTGTTTTTTGGAATTTTTTAACATGTGCTTAAGGTGCATTTATTTTTTTTTATTATTAATTTATATTAAAAAATAAAATTGATTTTAATTTTACTAATGGTCTAATTAAAATGTTACATATAATATTTATATTGAAAATAATGTTTACTTTTGTATTTTTTTTTATAAATTAATAATAAAAAAATATAATAAATATATTTTTAACATTTACTTTAAAAACACAAATAAGATAAATCTTTTTATTTTTTACTGCTAATTTATTGTCCCACATGCATGTAGCCACACACCTACCGTCGACTATCTTTGCAGGTAGTCATCTCTAAATATATACACACCACTAGACAAACAATGAATCCCCACAACCCACATGATGAAAGATCTTTTTGGCCGCAATGTAAATTATGATCTTGCCATGCAAATACCTTTTTCTTTATTGGGTAAATAATGGAAATAGTTTATATGTGGAAATTAGTTGAACTTCAATAGAAAGGAACTAAACTAACCCATTTCTGATTATAACGTCGGTGTTCTACAGTTAAATTTGAAAAGTATTTTGCCTTAATTTTAAACATGGTTTTTGGCTAGCCCACCAAATTATTTGCCTGCTACAATTGTTATATTCTAAGACAATTATACATACACCCAAGGCTTATAAACAGTAAAAATATAAATTTACCCCTCCTCATTTTAATTTTGGGTGTTGAGATAGGTGTTGATTGTTTGGGTGTATGTATAATTGTCCTATGTTATAGGAGTTTGCAAAGGAGGGTCATATAATGGTCATGTCGACATGCTTCTATCATATCAAAACGGTTTTGCTACCGTCTTGCCATCAGTAAAAGACTAATGACTATTATTTTGGGATTGTGCCACTGAGATATAAATAGTAATTATTTTTGAGACCATGCCACTGGGGACAACAGGGTACTCAATGCACTGCATCAAATTACTTTGTTGACCAAGTAGCCAAATCCTAAGACCCAGGAAGGTGTAGAAGATGAAGAATAAACGAAGGTACGTAGTTGATAGAAATGCAGCGCTCTTTAAGATAAAGTCTTCGTTAGATGTAACCTTGATGTTGCAGAACACCCAAATCCTTTGAGGCAGCAAAGTCCGAAGGAGAAGCTGTGGTGAAGGAGGTGCTGAAAAGTTAGAGAGACATGTTACCATGCTGCAAAGAAAATGACAACCAAAGCACAAAGGGCCTATAATGAATGGGTGCCAAGTGCGAGGAATGTATTGAGATACCTGTTTTGTTTAGCTTGGATTTTTTGAAGCTTTGAGTGTTACCCTCGGAGTTGTCGCATTCAAACTTGCAAAAATGATGAAAATGAATCTGCAATGAAACGACAGCAAGAAGGCAGCAAGTTAGCCGCATTGTTTTGTTCTTTTGACGACAGAGAAAGAGAAGCCATTAAACATGGTAGAGGTGCCTGTGAAGAAGGCAATAAAACAGCAATCCATGAAAATGATAAAAACAAGAGATGTAATGCAATAGAAATTTTTAAAAGTAGGGTCAATTAGTCAAATGCAAATCCTTCAAATTCTAAGGAATACAGGAACTGGGGGTGAGCTATTGAAAAGTTCACAAAGTTCCAGATATGGAAGCCGTTGTGACTAAAAAACAATAGTTCTAAATCCATGAGAGTAAACCTAAACGAAGCATGGAAATGCTAGTGTACACTACAATTATAAGAAAATGGAATACCACAGCCTGTCTGTCTGTGCTACATTCCAACACCAAAGTAGAAATTTGAGATGAAAGAAACTTTTTCCAGGTAAAAAAAAAAAAAAGAAAAAAAAATTAAAATATCTTTTATTCCAGTGCCAAATGCACTTTCATCAATGATTTGAAAAGAGTAGATGTCAAATATATTTGAACAGCCACAAAAAAAGTCAGAACTGAGACATCTTTGAATTGACTTTCAAAATCTAAACAATTTATTCTCCACTAAGAAATATCAAAGAAGCAGTGTTAACTTTATAGTAGCCCCTTTAGTTATAACAGAACTTAAAAATAGTAATTGTATTTGAAAAACAAAAAAATTCCAACAATGGTAAAGCAAATGCTGATATGCAATTATCCTACCGTAACTACATGCTGCATCAGCCGGATGAAGAATGATATCTTTTATTTTATATATATTTTAAATAAGAGAGTTAGCTGTTTGATATTAGAGATATTTGAATCTTAAACTTTTACCACAAATTAAGACTTTTAAGTTAGTGAAAACAAATTTGGCCAAACTCTTGTTGGTATCAAAGTAAATAATATCATAAATCTAAATATTGCATTAAAGAGGCAAGCTACTTACATTATGTTGCCAACGAATGTATTGAAACTTAAGCAACAGGGGAGAAGTACTGAAAGAGTTCAATGATTCATATTATTTGATATTTCTTTGCAAGGAATAGAGAAATATTATAATTACTATTTCTAGCTAAAGAAAGAGGCATAAAAGTATTTCTGTGAGATGAGTAGATTAGTGTATGGATCCTTATAAACACTACCGTAATTTCCTATTTCAAACCACCAGTTAATTTGCAGTTGGAGAAGAGGATTTGGAGTATAAATGATACACTTGCATACTTAGGGACTATATTGATGAAATAAAAAAAAAAAAAATGAAGTTCTGTTTGATTGAGGAATCAGAAACTCGGGATAAAAACAATTTTCCTTGAACTAGACAGATTTTGAATAGGACTTCTAACCTTAAGCACTAATCCACATGTTGAAGCCTATCCAAAAGTGCAGGCCAAAGATGATCACATTTACTCGGTAGCATTTGCAATCCCTACCATATTGAGCATATTCCGGTCCTTCTTAAACCTTTTTAACACAGTACCTTTAAGAGTATCTTGTCTTTGTTCTTGTTTTCCTTTCCTAACAACTCCCCAGCATTCTATCACTTCAGGACAGATTTTATTGTTCTTTGAAAGGCAAGGGCTACTGAATGTTGTACGAGAGAAAGTTTGTCCCTGGTCAAAGCCTGCTGAGAGGAACAGGCCAACTGGCCTAAGTGATTAATTCACCCTCCAAACCCAATGCCATTTGGAATGGCCTCTGAACTGAAACTCAGAGCACACTGCCAATTGGAAATTGTAAGCTACATAAGTCAGTCAAACAAAACAACAATAGACAGTTGAACAACAATAATACTGAAGGCCAAAAATAAGGACAATAGGACTAAATGCATGCGTAAACATAAAACGAAGCATGGAAATACCACGGTACATTAGAAGGAAATGGAATACCACCGGTCATGGGAACTGGGTGCTACTTTCCAACTACTAAAGTAGAAACTAGAGATAAAAGAAAAAAAAAAATTAACTTTTCAGGAAAAAAAAGGGGTATGAATGGTCAATTTAAGTGACAACAGAATTAAAGTTTCTTTTATTCCAGTGTCAATCCCACTTTCATCAATGATTTAAGAAGAATAAAGTCAGACAGAAACCCTTGAATTAACTCACAGTTTGAACAGTTAATTTTTCATTAAGATCTATCAAAGAAGCATTGACCCATTTTACATTAGCCCTTCTAATTATGACAGAGCTTAACAATTGCAGATGTGTTTGCAAAACAGAAAAATTCCAATCATGGAAAAGGAAAGGTTGAAATACAAATATCCTACACTTATGGCACCAAGTGACCGATATCATAAAGCTTTCCTACAGGGCTTAACTAATCACAGCAAGCTGAATAAAGAAAGAAAAGTGTGAGAACTATCATATAAAATTCATTGAAATCAAACAAATAAACGATTCAAAAGCATATTTGTTTCAGCAAAGTAGGAAACCAAAGTAGAAACATACTCATTGTAAATTGTTGCTGGTCCCAGTTGGTCTGAATATAGATGCCTTTGGATGGAGCTGACGGAGAAAAGACTTCATATCTCCATAGAAATCACTATGCCTCTCCCAAAGCTGGGAAGCATAACTCCCATATATATAACCTTCATTATCCTTAATAATCAAGAGAGTTGGCCCATTATCATTTTTGCAGTTCAATTGAACAATTATCCATTCCACTCCTACTTAAAAAATAGTCCAGAAAGAGAAACTGAAATAAAATTAGCGAGGACTCAGCATTTAAAGAGTGAAGCAGGAGTAGCCATGGGACGAATCCGTACCAAGACGGTGAAGAAGTCATCTCGGCAAGTAATCGAACTGCTGCTACTCGAGAATGACTCTTGATTTCCACACCAACAAGAAGATATATACTCGATGAGGTTGCCATAATCCCTTCCAAGCGCCTTTGCAACCAGATTGCCGGATTCTCGACCCATCTCATGAAGCGCAACCAGAAGGGTCGGGTTCGGGGCATCTCGCTCAAGTTGCAGGACGAGGGGCTTGAACGACGCATAGTCTTCGTCCCCGATGAATCCACCATCAAGACGGATCACATCAAGGTCGATAAGGAGACGGTTGACATGCTCTCTGCTCTGGGTATGAGTGAACTTCCTAGGTTAGTAAAAGAAGATCCAATTGAAGCACTTATGAAGAGAATACTAGCGCGGGCATCCACTGAGGCATGAGAGAACTTCCGCAATGAAGGTCGATTCCGGGTTTTTGTTTTTGTTTTTTGTGATAAAAGGAGAAAATATATATTAATACAAATTAAGCGGCTGGTAAAGTTCTTAGAACAAAGTTCTAATATGGTCTGAATACAACAAAATAGAGAGTTTAGAAGGACTCTTGTCCATCTAATATGGTCTGAATTTGGTACTGCATTTGCCTCCCAAAAGATGTGGTTGATCCGAAGGTTAGAAACTTGACCTATAAACAGTATGCAATCACAGATCAAAACGCCCAATAAGTGACATTCATTATTAACACAAATACACAATTCAAGAGCTTTTTAGCAGTTTTTGGATCAGTATCCAAGATCAATCCCGGTCAAA